AAGAAAGAGAAGAAGGAAAGAAACTTTAAATGTAATCTTAAAATCTTCGACTTGCCCTACTTGTTACCAAATTTGAATTTGTTAAATACATTCTAATCAGCTTACGTTAGTCTTCTATTTGAAAAAATATAAATAGCCTTAAAAGGAATTCACATAGACCAATAGTTCTCAACCAAAAGTGGTTCACTACTTTAGATAGGCTGGATTTTTACTTAATTTATTTGATAGATTCTTATCTGTACTAGAAAGATATAATCTTCATAAGAAAATACTTATGATGGAATGAAACACCAGTTAAAATATGGTTGAGAGGGCAAGAAACAACAAAATATAGATGATACAATGAAACTGCAGGAAATGTGTTCTCACCTGGCCATCCATCACGCCCAACAAAGAAGATTCCATCCACTGTACAGGTTCAATGAAATATGATGTACACTGAGCCTGACCCCCAGCGGTGAGCGTGAAAGATGGCGTCACTCTCTTGTGGGCAAAGGCTATGGGACCACTTCCTTCATTATGATCCAAAATGCTAGAACTTCGAAATAAAGATCGCCTGCAACCCCCAAACAAACAAAAACATTAATGACCTCCAAAAGGATGAAGAAACAGATGAACTCTGCAGCGTTTCTTAGAAAAATAAAAAAGGATTATGCTACTTTAATTTTCAATAACCTCTACAAGTAACCTGATTTACTTTCACTCTTAAGAATTTATATTCTTGTTTTTTTTTTTTTTAAGATTTTATTCATTTGACAGAGAGAGAGATCACAAGTAGGCAGAGGGGCAGGCAGAGAGAGAGGGGGAAGCAGCCTCCCTGATGAGCAGAGAGCCTGATCCCAGGACCCTGGGATCTTGACCTGGGCTGAAGGCAGAGGATTAACCCACTGAGCCACCCAAGCGCCCCAAAATTTATATTCTTAAAAGTAGGTTTGAATTTGAAATTTTTATAATATTCAATTGAACAAATTCTTCCTACAGATTTTAAGAAAATGAAACTTTTAGTACATTTCAGCTCCTGATATAAGATAAAATCTCCAGAGGACAGAAAATATTTTACCTGCACTTTCTACATTTGTAGAGAATGCCGTCTTTCAATCCTTGTGAAATGGTGGTTGGGTCAACAGCAAAGAGTTCTTGAGGTAAGTTCTGTAATTCTACATGAGATAATTAAAATTTATCTATTTGTTGCAATTAGCTCTGCATTTTCAGACAAAATTCAGCTAATATCAAATTGAGGCAAGAAATGCTAACCTCAGAAATTAAAAAAAATAAAAATAAAAAAATAAAAATCTCCAGCGTTGAGACATCAGGGTGAGGTCAGAGAGCATTGTGAAGAAGCCCTTGGGTTCTGAGCATAGACTTTCTGAGTTCAAATCCCAGCCCACCACTTACAAACCATGTGACCTTGAACAAGTTACTTCTTGGTAAACCACCATTTCAGAAGGAAGTAACAGCACCTGTTTCAAGGGATGACTGGAAAAGTAAGATAACACACTGGAAGCCTTTAGTATCAGAGTAAAGAGCATCTAAAAAGGGCCCAATAAGTATTAGTAATTATTACTTACCTGGATACTTTTCCGTAACCTTTTGTAAACGATATTGCTTATAAATTGCACTAGAAGTATCTACTTCATATCCCATTGCCTGGTATAATTTCAGTTGCCACTCAAATCCCTCATTCATCCTATAAGGACAAATATAAAGCTAAGTTTTCTTTAAATGGATAAAATCACTTCGAAAAACCAGAATTATTTCTTTAACAAAGAACTCACTTAGCCTCTGGTTTGATGGTCTGGAGATTTTCATAGGCTTTTTCAAAGGTAAACTGGTCAGTCTTCATCATAAAAGCAGTAATCACAGCCACACTACGACTAATTCCTGCATGACTGAAAAAGAGACCTTTAAAATAAAATAGCAAACAGCAGCAATTAAAAAAAAAAAAAAAAAAAAGCCCAGCTTCCCATAAACGGTAAAGTTCAGGTCCACTTCACGTCTGCTCCTTCTACCCAAATAAAAACCCTTTGCCTCTGAAATGAATGACTCCTTTATTTATTTCCTTAATCTTTTTGAATTCTGAACCACATAAATGTATTACCTTTTCAAAAATAATTACACTAATTAAAAAAATTTTATAATGGCTTTGGAAAAAAATCCAAAGCTCCCCTCTCTTGGCATTAAGGGGCCCGAAGATCTGGTCCCAGGCTTCTTTCCATTTTACCACCAGTTTATGTCCTGTATGTAAATATCTAAAACAAGTGCTGGCACGCAGTAAAAGGGCTGATTCAATAAATTTAAACTCCAATAAATTACACTCCAATGCAACTAAAGAGGACTACTAAGAATTCCCAAATACCTATCAAGATTTTCTTTTACGCATTGCTATAACTTACTCCCCATTTCCCTTCACCAACCATCCTCTGCCCCAAACAAAAACATTGAAAATAATCTGTCTTTGCGGTGAAGTGTGAATAATCTTAATCTTTGGTAATATCTTTTACTGCACGCCTGGCATCCTAATCTGCATTATAATCATCTGGGTCGGTGCCTGAAAAGCTTTCGACTCTTTTTAGATCCAGGGACTTTGCCACCTATCAGCCCCCCCTAAAAAGCAACTCGGGGTTGGGAGGGGCGGGGGCTGCAGAATGAATCAACGACGTAAGCATGAATGAAAGCCAGCACGCCCTCGGGGGCCTGCCACCTGCCCCTCCTCTCTCTCAGACACTCGCCAGCCGCGGAACGGTGGTCTGACAGCCCCTTCGTCCTCCCCTAGGGTCCTCGGAGGAAGGGGTGGCGGCGGCAGGCTGGAAGCAAAGCCGGGGGGCTGCCCCACGTGCGCGCCACTCACCAGTGCACCAACACGGCGCGGCCCTCGGCGCGGGCCTGGCTGATGAAGGCCACGCACCGGTCCAGATGGCTGAGTAGGTCAGTCTCGGGCTTGTCCAGCGCCCACACGAAGAGGCTCCGTAGACCCTCCATCCCAGCCCCCGACCTGAAGTCGGGCTCCTCCGAATCCACCGTCAGCACGGCCGTGATGCCCGCCTGCCTCAGGTGGTCCGGCTCCGCCACGGCCGCGGCTCCACCCAGGTACAGGCCCGGCCGTACCTCCAGCATCTGCCCCGCGGACCTGGCGCGGCTCTGACCATGGTTCCCTCCCTGAGCCTCCAACATGGCGGCCGCCCGGGCCGAGCTGGCAGGGGCCCTACCATCGAGTACTCAGACAGCTGGCTAGAACGCCCTTCCTCTGAGTCGGGCCGGCCTGAGATGCGCAGGGCTCCCTCGGAGGACCACGGAGACTGTAGGAACGTGTACTACCTGGGGAGCCTTTAAACCCGAGTCTGGGCCCAAGCTCTTGCAACTTGGTGGTAGAGGATAAACCCCAAATACAGGGTTTTCCAGGCTTATAGTGCCGAGGCTTTACAGAAAGGGACGACAAGAGTATCTGGACTCAAATTTGAAATGATGTCCCGCCAACTGAATCAGCAGTATGCATTTGGGGTAAAACACTTTTTTTTTTTTTTTAAACATTTATGAAGCCATTTGCTTGTATTTCTTCTCTTGTGACTATTTTTTTCTCTCTTTGTCCAGTTTTTTTTTTATGTGAATCTCTTTCTTATTGATGCATACTGTCCTATATACTTTGAAAATAGTAATCCCATTTTTTCATATGCCCATACCCTCCAACCAACCACCGCCAGGAACCCACTTCACTTTCTTATCATTTGCATGTTCACTGAAGTAGCATTTTAAATTTCCTTCCAGAACTTTTCCTTTGTATTCACATTTTTAGCTAATTGTTTGGTACAAAAGGCCTAATTTTCAGCCTATTTTGGCTTTTGACATGCCTCCCCCACTAAACTTAATCATTTCTAGCTTCTGCCTTAAAGTGAGAGATGTGTGAGTCTTCCTTTCACTTGAACATTTAGAGACCATTGTAGGATGATTAATTGGCTTGCTTTCAGTATTATTGTGTCTCAGGGATAGGGAGGCCCACGGAGAGGGAGAGGGATTGGGGGAATGACTGGTCTGTGAAGCAGGGGTAACATGCATAACATTTATGAAATTTGTCATCTTTTATAGGTGTGATTTGTGACACCCCAAAAACAATTACAATAGTAACATCAAAGATCACTGATCGGAGATCACTATAACAAATATAATAGTAATAAAAATTTTGAAATGTGGGGAGAATTGCCAAAATGTGACAGAGACATGAAGTGAACAAATGCTAAATGCTGTTGGGAAAATAATGCCAATACACTTGCTCAATGCAGGGTTGACAATGACCTTCAATTTGTTTAAAAACTACTTGTTAAGCACAATATCACGGTATGCCTGTGTAGGATCTGGGCTTATATTGGGTGATTTTGGACAGAGTTCAAGGAAGCAGGGCTTTGCTCTGGATTGGATGCTGTCAGGAAGTGGTGGTGATTCTATGACTGGGTATCTGTTATTTTCCCTACAGACACAAGGTCCAATGGAACAGGATATAGAGCCCAGAAAGAGACCCTCACATATATGCTTAAATAACCTTCAACAAGGGTGCCAGTGGGAAAATGGGGGAAAGTAGTCTCTTCAAATGGTGCTGGGAAAACTGTATATGCACGTGTAAAAAGAATGGAGTGTGATCCCTACCTTGAACAATGTACTAAATTAATTCAAAATTGATTAAGGACCTAAACGTAAGACTATAAAACCTAGGGCACCTGGGTAGTTCAGTCGGTTGAGCATCTGACTCTTGACTTTGGCTCAGGTCATGATCTCAGGGTCATAGACTGAGCCCAGCATTAGGCTCCACAACTCAGCACGGAGTTGGCTTGTCCCTCTCCCTCCACTCCTCCCTCTAGTTGTGCTTTCTCTCTCAAATAAATAAATAAAAATCTTTAGGGGCACTGCGTCGCTCAGTCGGGTAAGTGTCTGCCTTTGGTTCGGGTCATGGTCCCAGGGTCCTGGGATCAGGCCCCGCATTGGGCTCCCCCAGGGAGCTTGCTTCTCCCTCTCCCTCAGCCTGCTGCTCCCCCTGCTTGTGCGCTCTCTCTCTGTCAAATAAATCAATAAAATCTTTTTAAAAAGATCTTAAAAAAAAAAAGACTACAAAACTCCTAGAAGAAACTTAGAAATAAATCTTCATGACAGGATTATGTCAACATCTAAAATTTCTGCACATCAAAGGAAATAATCAAAAGAGCAAAAGGGCTACCTAAGGAATAGGAGAAAATAATTGCCAATCATATATCTGATAAGAAATTAAAATCCAAAAAATACAAAGAACTCTAGAAGAGTGATAATCAGCATCATGGTTGAATAAGATGTTCCTCTTCCCATGTTCCCCCACCCCCAACAACAAGTTAACATCCATCCACAGGCAAAAGGGCCTTGGTGGGAGCTGTGAAATCCTGTACCATATGCCAAGGGACCTGGGAGGAGTCTTGCCCTCCTGTATGTGAGGTAATAGGCACATGGAACTTGGTCCTAGCTACAGACCCTATGGTGGCCTGTGAACCATCTTCCCTCTTGGCTCTGGTCAGGGAGCCTGCAGAAAACACTGACTTAGATAATCAACAGGGATAGGAGAGCCTTTGTGGAAACCCAGGTTTCCAGCAGAGACGTCCTAGCAGACAGTTGGAACAAAAAAGTATGTTTGGAGGCATCAGAGAGGGTAAGATTGACTTTCCTCACATCACTCCTCCCCCAAGGCAGCACAACTGAGGGCTAAGAGAGGTCTCCTGGGCCTGAGCTTTATCCTGGGGTATGGGGTGGGGGAACATGGGGGATGGAGGGAAGAGACTGAAAGAAGCACACAGAGGACTCTCAGAGGGCACCAAAGGGACATAGGTCCTACTAAGTAATTCAGGCTCCATCAAGAAGCCAGCCCAGGAGCTGCTTGAGAGGACTTGCTGCTGGACCCCCTTGTCTGCCCATGGGCACCCCTAGTGCTCTGTGCACCTCACGCCCACACTCACCTCCACCCTGTGGCCAGCTCCTCGTGGGTGCTCCCAATGGCAGCGGCAAGAGTGTTTTGGCAAGTGTCTGGAGAGCATGCGCAGAGAGCCAGCCTGAATCTGCAAGACAGGAAGAGACCACAAAGTTGAAAGTTAGTGCCACTTTTGGGAAAAAGAAGGGAAGCTGTCAGCATTTGGCCTGGTATGTTGCCGCATCTGAGAAGGCACTCAGGCGTAAGATATCTGCCTCAAGAGGGAGCAAGGAAGCATGGAGTAGGTGTACATCCATAGAAGATTTGAAGAAACCTCAGAATCTCTAGGGGGGCTGATGGAAGGCATCTTCCATCAGAATAGGGGTGACTATTACTTCAAATGCAAAGGTAACAATGCAAAATTTCAGGGAACATGAAAAGTCAAAGAAATGGTACCACTAAAGGATCAAAATAGTCTTCCAATAACCAACCCCAAAGACATGGAGATCTTCAATTTATCTGATAAAAAATCAGAAACAGCTGTTTAAGGAAACTCAGGGAGCTACAAGAAAAGAAATAAGGACAATTCAATGAAATCAAGAAAGCAATACAAAATGAGAATTTTAACAAAGAGATAGAAACTATTAAAAAGAACCAATCAGAAATTCTGGAGCTGAGGAACACATTTAATGAAATACAAAAATGCAGTAGAGAATATCAATATCAGAATGGATCAAGCAGAAGAGAGAACCTGTCAGTTAGAAACAGGAATTTTAAGGGCACCTGGGTGATTCTGTTGGATAAACGTCTGCCTTCAGTTCAGATCATGATCCCAGGATCCTGGAATTGAGCCCTGCATGGGGCTCCCTGCTCAGCAGGGGAGTCTGCTTCTCCCTTTCTCTCTCCTGCCACTCATGTGCGCTCTCTCTCTCTCTCTCTCACTTTCTGTCAAATAAATAAATAATACTAAAATCTTTTTTAAAAGAAAAAGAAAAAACAACAGAAGAAGAAGACAGGAATTTTGGAATTATCCAGTCAGAGGAGAACAAAGGAAAAAGAATGAGAAAGACTGAAGAAAGCCTACTTGATCTATGGGATACTAGCAAAGGAGATAATTTGCAAGTTATTGGAGTTCCAGAAAGAGAAGAGGGGAGAAGGAAGTACACAGCTTATTTAAGGAAGTAATGGTTAAGAACTTGCAAATCTGGGGAGAAATTTGGATATCCAAATTCATGCTGCTCATAGGTTACCAAACAAACTTAAAGAGCTCCTGTCCAAGACACATTATAATAACACTGTGAGAAATCAAAGACAAAGAGAAAATCTTAAAAGCAGCAAGAGAATAGAAGCTTGTAACTTATAAGGGAATCCTCATAAGGCTATCAGCAGATTTCTCAGTAGGAACCTTACAAGCCAGGAGAGAAAGGGATGATCTATGCAAAGTGTTGAAGGAAAGAAAAAACTGCCAAGGAAGAACACCCTATCTGGCAAAAGTTGTCCCTCACAAATAAAGGACAGGTAAAGACTTTCCCAGAAAAACAAAAGCTGAAGGAAACCACTAGACCTGCCTTTGCTGAAAGAAACTCTTCAAGCTGAAACCAAAAGATGCGATTTAATAACATGAAAATATGCAACACATTGTTAAAGGTACGTATATAGTCAGGTTCAGAATAATACAGTGATATGGTGGTGTGGAAGCCACTCAACTCTAGTATAAAGGCAAAGGATGAGGATATTATAAGTAACTAGAGCTATATTTTGTTAATAAATACACAATATAAAAAGAGATTGGGTGCCTGGCTGGCTCAGTCTGTTGAGCGTCCGACTCAGTTGAGTGTTTCAACTCAGGTCATGATCTCGGGGTCCTGAGATTGAGCCCCACACCGGGCTCTGTGCTCAGTAAGGGTTCTGCTTGAGATTCTCTTTCTCTCTCTCTCCCTCTGCCCCTCCCCTGTCCTCTCTGTCTCAAATAAATAAATAAATCTTTTCTTAAAAAAAAAAAAGAGGTTGGGACATCTGGGTGGCTCAGTTGTTAAGCATCTGTCTTCGGCTCAGGTCATGATCCCAGGGTGTTTGGATCGAGTCCCACATTGGACTCATTGCTCAGTGGGGAGCCTGCTCTGGCTGTTCTACCTGCATCTCTCCCTGCTTCTGCTTGCTCTCTCTGACAAATAAATAAAATCTTTAAAAATAAAATAAAATAAAATTTAAAAAGAGGTTAATTGTGATTTCAGAAAATCAAAAGGGGGAGAGGACTAAAAGGGTGGAGATTTGTATGGATTAAAGTCGTTATCAGGGCCAAATAGACTTTTACAGCTACAAGATGTTTTATATCAGCCTCATAGTAACCACAAAACAAAAACCTACAGTAGATACAGTACAAATGAGATAAAAAACAGGGAATCAAAGCACACCCCTGGGAAAATCATCACTTCATTAATGAAGGAAGCAAAAAAGGAAAAAAGGAACAAGGGAACTACGAAACAGCCAGAAAATAATCAACCAGACTGCAATAGTCAATCCTTGCCTTCACATAATCATTCTAATTGTTAATGGATTGAATTCTCCAATTAAAGTGCATAGAATGGTTGGATGGATAAAAAGGCAAGACCCAAGGATATGCTCCCTGCGAGAGAATCACTTCTGCTTTAAAGACACACACAGGCTCTAAGTGACCAGATGGAAAATGATATTCCATTCAAGGGGAAACCAAAAGAGCACAGGGATAATTATATCAGATAAAACTGACTTCAAGCCAAGAACGATAACAAGAGACAAAGATGGTCATTATATAATGATAAGGTGGTCCATTTATCAAGAAGCTATAACAATATTAAATTTATGTGCACAAAATCAGAGCAGCTGATATATCAAACACTAACAGATCTAAAGGGAGAAATAAATAGCAATACAATAATAGTAGGCAACTTCAGTCCTCCACTTTCAACGATAGATAGATTATCCAGACAGAAACCAACAAGGAAATGTTGGAATTGAGCCATACCTTCAACCAAATGGCCCAACAGACATATACAGAACATCCCATCCAATAACAACAAAATGCATATTCTTCTCAAAAACCCACAGAGGGGCACCTGGGTGGCTCAGTGGGTTAAAGCCTCTGCCTTTGGCTCAGGTCATGATCCCAAGGTCCTAGATGGGAGCCCCACATCGGGCTCCTTGCTTGGTGGGAGGCCTGCTTTTCCCTCTCCCACTCCCTCTGTTTATGTTCCCTCTCTCGCTGTCTCTCTGCCACATAGATAAATAAAATCTAAAAATAAAATAAAATAAAATAAATATCCTGGTGGGACACCTGAGTGGCCTCTGTCTTGGTCTCAGGTCATGATCTCAGGGTCCTGGGATAGAACCCCCGCCCCTGAATCAGGTTCCCTGCTCAGTGGGGGGTCTGCTTCTCCCTCTCCCCTCTGCCCCTGCTCCTTACTTGTGTTCTCTCTCTCAAATAAATAAATAAATAAACAAACAAACAAATAAAAATCCTAAAAATAAAAGACCTATCTTGAAACAAATGAAAATGGAAGCACAACCTCTCAAAACCTAGGGATGCTGCAAAAGCAGTTTGAAGAGGGATATTTGTAGTGATAAATACCTACATTAAGAAACAAAAAAGATCTGAAATAAGTAACCTAACTTTATACCTCAAGGAACTAGAAAAAAGTGAGCTAAGTCCAAAGTTAGCAGGAGGAAGGAAACAACAAAGATTAGAACAGAAATAAATGAAATTGAGACCAGAAAAGCAATAGAAAACATCAATGCCACAAAGGTCTGGGTTTTTTTTTTTTTTTAAGTGAACAAAATTGGCAAAACTTTAGTCAGGCTCACTAAACCAAAAAGAGAGAAAACAAAATCAGAAAGAGGAAACATGACAACTGATCTCACAGAAACACAAGGGGACGAGTATGAACAATTATCTGCTGACAACTTGGATAGCCTAGAAGAAATAGATACATTCTAGGAACACGTAACCTACAAAGACTGAATCATGAAGAAATGGAAAATCTGAGCAGATCAATAATAAGTAGATTAAATCAGTAATCAAAAATCTTCTAAAAAACAAAATTCCCAGGACCAGATGGTATCACTGGTGAATTCTACCAAATATTTAAGGAAAAATGAATGCCAATCCTTTTCAAGGTCTTCCAAAAAATTAAAGAGAAGGGAAAACTCCCAAATCCATTTTACAAGGGCAGCATTACCATGATTACAAAGACAGAGAAGGACCCTCCAAGGAAAAAGAACTACAGCCCAATATCCCTGATGATACAGACGCAAAAACTCTCAACAAACTATTAGTAAGTAGAATTCAACCACAAATTAAAGGATCATAGACCATGATCCAGTGGGATTTATCCCTGGGAGGTTAAGGATGGCTCAACATTTGCAAATTAATAAATGTGATACACCAAATTAGCAGAATGAAGGATAAAAATCACATGATCACCTCCACAGACGCATAAAAAGCATTTGACTATACATAACATCCTGTCATGGTAGAAGAGAAAAACACAAACTTTCAACAATTGGGCATGAACGGACATGCCGCAACATAATCCCGGCCACGTATAACAAGCCCGTAGCTAACACCACACTCAATAATGAAAGACTGAACGCTTTTCCTCTAAGATCAGGGTCAGGGCATAACTGCCCACTCTTCACCACTCATATTCCACATAGTTCCAGAGATGCCGGCCAGAGCAATCAGGCAAGAAAAGAAATAAAACCTCCAACTCGGAGAGGCAGAAATACACTTGTTTTGCTTGCAAATATATGTGATCTTATATATAGAAAATCCTAAAGACTCCCTCCCCCCCCAAAAAAAAACCTGTTAGAACTCATCCATAAGTTCTATAAAATTACAGGATACAGAGTCAACATACGGAAATCAGTCACATTTCTATACACTAAAAACAAATTCTCTGAAAAAGAAAGAAAGCAATCTCATTCACAACTGCGTCAGAAAGAACAGCTCAGGGATCAACGTGGCCAAGGAGGTAAAAGGTCTGTACAGTGAAATATGAAGGATTAGCCTTTTCCGTGGTAACTGAAGGAAAGGGGGCAAGAGTGCATGGGGATGAAAGGAGACTCAGTGGTTTGGTGGCAAGAAGCTAAAGGCTTGCTCTTGTGATGTCTTCTAGTTTCTGGGTGAAGCATCTGTATATGCTGAGAATGAGGATGGAAGTTTGAGAAGAAGAGGCAGTCTGAGGAAAATTTGCCTGAAGAGAGTGGAGAACGTCCGTGGGAGCTGACCTGTGGGGTCAGGCAGCCCAGGTCCTGATCAGTGTTCGCATCATAACAATAAAAATCTTCCGTACAGTAAAGGGTTAACTCAGTAGCCTCAATTGCTCAGGCTCAAGCCTGAGGGTAGTCTCTGATATAGAACATATTGTCTAGAATAATGAAAAACGAGAACTATGTCAACGACTACAGATCCAGTGGATGAGATACTAGGCAAGTATTTCTAAGATAACAAAGGGACTGGTCAATGCTAGCTTTGTTATAGTTGTTTTTTTAAAGCTGGTTTACAAATAGAAAACATGTCTCAGCCCACTTCTATGTATATGAAAAATATTGAAAGATTTCTATCAAACTGTTAACAGTGGTTATTTCTGGGAGCTGGCTTAAGAGACCTACAAGATAGTCTTCACACACTTCATTCTATGTAGCTGTTTTGGTTTTTTGGTGTTTTGTTTTTGTTGTTGTTGTTGTTGTTTGTTTTTTTAACTACTATCATTAGAAGTATTCATTGTAGGGGTGCCTTGCTGGGTCTGTTGGAAGAACACGTGACTCTGGATCTTGGGGTCATGAGTTTGA